TTCAAACTTGAGCGCATTGAGTGAGTACTGAAATTGTATTGATTTTGTCACAAAAGGTGATAGTGCAGGAGCAAATATTACTCATAACATGATGATGCGAGCAAGTGTAGATGAAGATAAACTTGGAGATAGGTTAAAACTTGTCGGAATGGCATTAGTTCATCCCTATTTCGGGAACAATGAGCCAGATAGAATTTGGTCGTATTGTTGCCCAGAAAATCCCAAAACTGATGACCCAAGATTCAATCCAGCAGCACATCCAAGTTTGCTATCGAAGCTTGTTTGTTCCAAGATTCTGATATGCACCGGGGGAGCGGATTTTATAAGGGACAGAGGGTGGACATACTATGAGTCCCTGAAGAAATGTGGATGGAAAGGTGAAGTGCAACTTAAGGAAACAGAAGGGGAAGAACATGTTTTTCATTTGGTTAAGCCAACTTGTGAGAGAGCTAAGGCCTTGATGAAATGGCTAGCTGATTTCTTTCAACAATCAAGCTGAATACTTGTTGGGTAGAATTTATGTCCTATTTCAGTTGTATCTCTTTTTCTTTTTATTGATCAAATAAGTAGCCGTTTGGACTTGAAATTGAAATTAGTGATTTGAAGTTGAAATTTCGTTTGGACTTGCAATTGTGGCAGGAGATATCATTTTCACTATCACAGTCATTAACTGGAGTCACTGGACTCTCCATTTATGGAACATCTTGTATTTTATCTTTAAAAAATAGTACTTATTTAGTTTAGGACCAAATAACTTGAAAAAATTAGATAATTTTCAACTCATAAGCTTCAAATCCGACTCCACTATACCTCCAAAAGAAATTATTTCTGGACAATAGAACTTGCAGTGGTCATTACGTATGGACTACGCTCACTTGAATTGTTTGTATATATAACTTATAAGGTGATGATATTGGGGAGAATCAATGAGGACAAAAGAAGTCTCTGTCCTCTAGAAACATTACTACACATGCTGAGTTAAAATATAATGCCGTCCTTATATTTAACTCCTATATATTATAAAATAAATATGGAGTAATTCTATTATTTATAGTATACTTTTTTTAAATGTTCGAAATTTATTTTAATAAAAAGATCAAATCAATGTCGAGTGAAAACGAAAGGAGGGATTATCTGTGTTAGCATTCATCATTTTCTCAATCAAATCATATAATTACTCAATAGCAAATATGATATACTTGTTGGAACCCTAAAATAGTAATCTATTGGACCTTTGAAAACTAATCTTTAACATTGGATATATGTAATATGAGTAAGACGGAATATAAGACATAAAAATTTAAGTTTTCGAATATACAATTAAAAAAAATTCCAAAGAAAAATATTTTAAAAATTGGTTGGCCCAAACTATTTGTTTAGGCAAAGAAAAAATAATTTACACAAATTATTGCTTTTAAAAGTAGCTGTCACAGCACTGGTGTATAGTAACACCAACCTTCTCTTGTAACTTACCTTTTAGCAATGGCGGAAATAGTACATGATTTTTTCCCATTGATGAGAGTTTACAAAGATGGTCGAATCGAAAGGCTGATGGGCGAGGGTTTTGTCCCACCTGAATTGGATCCTGAAACTGGAGTACAAATCAAAGACATTGAAATTGATCCAGAAATTAACCTATCAGCAAGACTCTACCTGCCCAAAAATGTCGACACCGTTCAGAAAATTCCCCTTTTCGTCTACTTTCACGGCGGTGGCTTTGTGATCGAATCTGCTTCTTCACCTTCATATCACAAGCATCTTAGCACGGTAGCAGCTGAAGCAAAAGTCGTCATCGTTTCTGTTAACTACAGGTTAGCTCCTGAGTACCCGTTACCCATAGCTTATGAAGATACATGGTTAGCTCTGAAATGGGTCGCTTCACATGCTAATGGTGATGGCCATGAGCCATGGCTAAAAGACCATGCCGATTTCAATCGGGTTTATTTTGGGGGAGATAGCGCGGGTGGTAACATCGCACACCATATAGCAATTCGGGTCGGGTTGGAAAAGTTGGATGGTGTGAAACTTGAAGGGATTTTCCTTGCCTGTCCATTTTTCTGGGGGAAGGATCCGATTGACGGTGAGGGGGAAAACCTGGGTGCCAAGGATTTCGTTGAGAAGCTATGGTTGTTTGCGAATCCGAATAGCTCGGGATTAGATGACCCGTTGATTAACCCGGAGAAGGATCCGAAATTGTCTAGCTTAGGATGTGATAAAGTACTTGTGTATGTGGCTGGAAAAGATCCGTTGAGATTCAGGGGATTTTACTACAAGGAGGTATTGGAGAAGAATGGGTGGCCGGGGACGGTGGAGGTTGTGGAAGTTAAAGATGAAGAACATGTGTTTCACCTGTTTGCTACAGAAGCTGAAAATGCGATGGGCATGATGAAAAAATTGGTCTCTTTCCTTAATCAGTCCTAGGACTTCTAATCATGGAAGTGAGTACTATTTTTATGAATAAAATGGATGTAATTGTTAAAGATTTTCCCCTGTAAATCTTTTTCTTAATATATTTCTCAATCTTCCGAGAATGCGGTCTACTGATTTTATCGACTATCAACGAAATTTATTATAGAATGATAAGTATTTATTCATCTATACTCATGAAGTAAAAGCAGGAGAGTTCATTTTCACTATCATAGTCTAATAATCTGACTCTCCACTTATGAAACATCTTGCTCCACTGCTTCAATTTGTTTATTTCTAAGAAGATAGAGCAAACTTCTTTTAAGTGATGAAAACGAATACCACCTATATACATTTTTATATATATTTTTATACCAATTTATATGATTTGCTTTTCTTTTTGGCAAAAGGGTCTAGTGGACCATTCTACTTGTATGAGTTTGTATTCTAAACCCTTTTACTTAATCATTTGTCAACTGAACTCTTGAACTCTTCGAAACACTATATTTTAAACATGTTTTCTAACTTGGCATCCTATGGGGCCGACACAACAAAGGGGTGTGTAATACACACACCTGAGGAGCGTGAGATCTGGTTAAATGGGTCTAATAGTCATTAGGGTTTTATAAAGCCATCTTCTTCCCCATATGCTAGCCTCTTTTTCGATCTTCTTTCTCCAAATTTCTTCTCCATTTTTTCCATCCTTATACTCCTCTTTTATTTCTATGCATTTTCATTTAATTCTTTGCTTCATTTTGTGGTTGATCCTATTGTAGTTTTCTACATCATCACGAAAGTTACTTTTGTTAGAATCCTATAATATAATAGAAATCATGAAACATGTAATTGAAAGCATAACAAACAAAATCCTCAAAAAATTTCAACATAATTAGTATGAAAACCTAAAAATTAAACAAAGACATAAATAGAAGATGAAATCTAGACTAAACAACATACAAATACGAAAATAAGTTACAAAATTTACATAAATAAATTAAAAATCGAACAAAACCAACAAAAATACTCAAACAATTTCATGGGAATGAAGAAAAAAATGAGAAAGAAAAAATGTGGGTATATATAGCCACACACAGATGTTGCGGTGAAACTCTCTTCTTCGACTTGGATGAAAACAAAGACGGATTGCCTTGATTGAGCCATGATTTCTGCTACTGGTGATTTTTCTTCCATGAAAAGAGTAGAAGAGGTTGAATTTTTTTTCTAAGAAAGATGAAAGAGAAATGAAATGAGGGGAAAGTGGTGGGTTTGGTGGCAAAAGACAAATAAAAATCAGAAATATATTAATTAAATATAATAAAAATGTCAAGATGACATGAAGTGGTATATATACACGTGTCATTTATAATTATTTTTAAAATTACGTGTCAGGCGTTTGTGGTACACGCACAACTAAACGGTTAAAAAGTGTTTAAAATATTGAGTTTAAATGGGTTCAGGGTCCAGACGACAAATTGATAAGTAAAAGGGTTCACAATACAAACTCATACAAATAGAAGGGCCCACCAGCCCTTTTGCCTTCCTTTTTTAGTCATTTTTAGAAAGAATAATATATTTCTATATTAAGTAGTAATAATTTAACTTTAAAATATCCATTTTAATTTTAATGAAATGATTTATAACAATATACATTTCTATCATTCATTTTACACTACAAGTTTTAAAAATCCTTCTTTTTTATTTTTTTAAATTCGTACCGAGTCAAAGTAGCTTTCATAAAATGGGACAGAGTGAGTAATAAGAATTGGAAAACCAATTTTAAAAATTCCAAAGATACACCGTAAACTTGGTGTTGTCGATCTTTCTAGTTCCTCTCCATTAAAAACTAAGCCATAAATAAAATACTTTGCCTTGCCTTGGTTGTGACGTATGGTCTACGCTCACTCCAATCAGATATGAGTGTTCACACGTTTAGATTGAATATGAATTTTTTTTGAGTTTTACCTCAAAAGAAATTGCAATTCAAGCTCAATTCAAGTAAGCTTGAATTTGATTGGAGTTTTTAGGTTTGATATAAAATTATTCAGTTAGTTATTTTGAATTTTTGTTTTTTATGTTTTAATCCTTTTAAAGGCAAGTATAATTGTGACAATTAACAAGTTCAATTCACTTAATAATTTATTCTTTAGAATGAATTCCATTTGTTTTTTAAAACAAAAGACTTATTTTCATTTTTAGTTTATTTCAAAAAGAATGATTTTTATTTTTTGTAATACTTTAATTTCAGTTTATCAACTGACATGTTTAAGAATTCAAGATTAAAAATATGTTGGTACATTTGACATAACTGTAATTTAGGATCACAAGATTGAAAAAATTTCTTCCTTTTCTTACCCTTCGTGTTAAGTCAAATTAGATTATTCTTTTTTAAATCGATGGAGCATAACTTTCTAGTGTTTACAAGAATTGAGGTCTCGCTAACTCTCATGTCGTGGATTAAGTTTTACTTACTCATAGACTATTTTTCATTTTTGTCTAGATTCGTAATTAAAAAATAAATCACTTGATACTAAAAGTGAGAATAGAATTATTTGAGATCTATCAATGAAATCATATAATATTATTTGATAGTAAATACGATAGAGTTACTTGGAACCTAGAATACTTATAGAGATTAAACTTATTACCAATTAAGTTCTTGGTTTTAAGAGTAGATCTCACAGCACTTGTGTATATTAACACCAACCTTCTCCTTGTAACTTAGCTTTTAGCAATGGCGGAAATAGTACACGATCTTTTCCCACCGATTAGAGTTTACAAAGATTGTCGAATCGAGAGGAGGCTGATGGGTGAAGGTTTTGTCGCACCTGAATCGGATCCTGAAACTGGAGTACAAATCAAAGACATTGAAATTGATCCAGAAATTAACCTATCAGCAAGACACTACCTGCCCAAAAATATAGACCCAGTTCAGGAAATTCCCCTTTTCGTCTACTTTCACGGCGGCGCCTTTGTAATCGAATCTGCTTCTTCACCTACCTATCACAAGCATCTAAGCATGGTAGCAGCTGAAGCAAAAGTCGTCATGACCATTTAAATCCTTTTAGACATTATTTCAAAATTGACGTTGAGCAATTACAACCTTCGCTAATATTTGAAAGAACTTAAGCATCTGACTTAAAATCTTAAAACATGGTCTAAAAACACATAGCGCCTGTTTGGAAGGACAAACAAGGACACTCTGCTAATTAGATTTGATATAATTGAGTGTAATTACACTGTCTGTCATATTTGGTTGGACATGTAATTACTTGGTCAGCCATGTAATTAGTGTAATTGGCAGGGATAATTACACTTTACAATTCACAGACAGAGGCTATGAATTACTGGTAATTACACCATGCAAATTACTTTTAAATTTCATTTTCTTATTTCTATTTTTATTTTTTTTGTTTTAATTTTTTTTACTTCTGATATTTTAAGTTCTTTTTTTTTATTATTATTATAAAAGTTTACTTTTTATTTTATATTATTATATTTCATTTTCTTTGTTTTCAACTTTACTTTACGTGATTCTATGCAATTTTTCCGTATTATCTATTTCTTTATGTCATGCTTACTTTCTTATTAGCATAATTTTATTAGTATTCTAATTTTTTTTAATTAAAATATAATTTATTGTTAAGTAAGGTTATAGACTTACGTTTTCTTTTTTAAGAAAAATAAATCATATTTATGTATGCTATGTTTAAATTTGCTATAAGAGTATTATGTTAAATGTTTCGTTTTGAATTTATAACTAATGTTATATTTTCAGTTTCATTTGTTTTAGTAATATTGAATTCAAATTGCACGTCAATTTTTTAATTAGACTTGATAGATTATCTTTTTGTCAAACATTTAATAATTTATGACATTTTATTTATATATTAATCTTTATATCAGACATGCATTTCACGATGTTCGTAGAAACTTCATACTTTTAATTTTTATGATCAATTCAATTGAAATATATTAATTTGAAAAAATATAAATCAATTATTTTTTCATAATATTAGTTAAAAAATATATGTTTATTAATTAATATATTTAAATATATATATATATATCTTAAATATTTAATTTAATGTCATTTATAAAGTTTCTTATTTGTCTAGTATAAATTTTAAATAATTAATTTTGATTTTTAAAATTTAATATAATTTTATAATTGTAATTGTGCATCCAAACAGAACATGTGTAATTACACTGTGACATCCAAACAGGACATGTGTAATTACAATTATACTGTTGCAACCAAACAAGTAAGTGTAATTACTAGGCTGATAATTACTACCCTAATAATTACACCATTTCCAATAACATGTGACTTTCCAAACAGACCCATATGAAAATCTTCATAACATATGAGAGACGGACATAATTATTAGATTACGAAATAATAATATTAAATTATGTTAATTATGGATACTTATCGGAGAAAGTGGTCATAATTTATATTAAGCCACTTTTTTCTAATCTAGAAAATGATTATTATTCCTTGAAATCGTCCATCTATATTCTCATACTCCCTCCGTTTCACAAAGAATGACCTGGTTTGACATGTCACAGAGTTTAAATAAATAAAAAAGACTTTTGAATCTTGTGATCCTAAATTAAAGTTATGCCAAATGTACAAAATTGCCCTTAATCTTGTGGTCTTAAACATGTCACGTGAAAAACAAAAAGTAAAATGTTACCAAAAAAGGAAAGAGGTTATTCTTTTTGAAACTGACTAAAAAGAAAAGGAGGTCATTCTTTGTGAAACGGAGGGAGTATGAGAATATAGATGGACGATTTCAAGGAATAATTTATTTCACCATCTTTTAATTGGATATGAAAAATGTTGTGGAGTGAATGAAAAAGTGAAATTATTATTTAAAAGAAAAAAAAAATTTCATTTATTTATTTTGAAATGAATATTTTTTCTTTTTGCGGTGTTAAGGGACTCCATAACTTAACAAGTAATTGCCCAAATAAATGCAAATGACCATAAAAACTATCAAAATTAAATTAGAGTAAACATGTTGACGCCAAACTAGGAAAAAAAAGATTTGGACATTCAATTCAAAATGCATATAATTAAAGAGCAGATTTTAAAACAAAGCAAATTTTTGGTTATAAAAGTAACTGTCACAGCACTAGTCTATAGTATACCAACCTTCTCTTGCTTGCAACTTAGCTTTTAGCCATGGCGGAAGTAGTACATGATTGAGAGTTTACAAAGATGGTCAAATCGAGAGGCTGGCGGGCGAAGTTTTTGTCCCACCTGAATCTGATCATGAAACCGGAGTACAAATCAAAGACGTTCAAATTGATCCAGAAATCAACCTATCAGCAAGACTTTACCTGCCCAAAAATGTCGACCCGGTTCAGAAAATTCCCCTTTTCGTCTACTTTCACGGCGGCGGCTTTGTAATCGAATCTGCTTTTTCACCTACATATCACAAATATCTTAGCCTGGTAGAAGCTGAAGCAAAAGTCGCCATTGTCTCTGTTAACTACAGGTTAGCTCCTGAGTACCCGTTACCCATAGCTTATGAAGATTCATGGCTAGCTCTCAAATGGGTCACTTCACATGCCAATGGTGATGGTCGTGAACCATGGCTAAAAGACAATGCCGATTTCAATCGTGTCTATTTGGGGGGAGATAGCGCGGGTGGTAACATCGCACACCATATAGCCATTCGGGTCGGGTTGGAAAAGTTGGAGGGTGTGAAAATTGAAGGGATTTTCCTTGCCTGTCCATCTTTCTGGGGGAAGGATCCGATTGACGGTGAGGGGGGAAATCCTGGGTGCCAAGGATTTCGTTGAGAAGCTATGGTTGTTTGCGAATCCGAATAGCTCGGGGATTAGATGACCCGTTGATTAACCCGGAAAAGGATCCGAAGTTGTCTAGCTTAGGATGTGATAAAGTAGTTGTGTATGTGGCCGGAAAAGATTCGTTGAGATTCAGGGGATTTTACTACAAGGAGGTGTTGGAGAAGAGTGGGTGGCCGGGGATGGTGGAGGTTGTGGAAGTTAAAGATGAAGAACATGTATTTCATCTGTCTGCTACAGAAGCTGAAAATGCCATGGCTATGATGAAAAAATTGGTTTCTTTCCTTAATCAGTCCTAGGACTTCTAATCATGGAATTGGGTACTATTTTTATGAATAAAAAATGGATGTAATTGTTAAAGATTTTCACGTGGTTCTTAATATATTTCTCAATCTTGGGGAATGCGGCCTACTGATTTTATCGACTATCAACAAGATTAGATTTATTATAGAGTGATAAGTATTTCTTCGTGTTTACTCAGATTCTTAGGTATAAAGTGCATCAAGGTATGCACGAGAGTTCTAACCAACATACGTTTACGGAGCATCTTGTTACACTGCTTCAACTTGTTATTTCTAAGATAGAACAAACTTCTGTAAGTGATGAAAAGGACTACCACCAACATACGTTTTTGTTTTATAAAAATAATTGGAAAACCAAATATCACCGTAAACTTGCTGATCTATCTAGTTCTTTCTCCATTTAAAACTAAGCCATAAATAAAACAATTGACCTTCCCTTGGTCGATGGTCTACGCTCACTAGAATTGTTTGTTTAGTATATAATGATGTTGAATAATAGGGAAAAATATCAGATGTGGGCCTTCTCACCGTTCAGATTGAATATAAAAATTTGATTTGAGTTTTTAAATTTTAACATCGCTGAAATTACAATTCAAGTAAGGTTGAATTGATAGGAGTTCTTAGGTAAGATTTAAAATTATTCAGTTTTGTTATTTTGAATTTTTTATTTTAATTTTTGAGTCTTTAAGGCAAGTATGACACTTCACAAGGTCATCATTTGTTAGAATGTATACTTTTTACCGTTAACCAAGATTGAGGTCACTCTTAACACTCGTGCGGTGGACTAAGGTTTACTTATTCATGGACTATTTTTTCATATTTTATCTAGATTAGTACTAAAAAACATAACATGATATTGGAAAAAGGCATAAAATTTTCCCTGAACTTGGCACGAAAATTTACTTTAGTACTTAAACTACACGAGTGTTTATATACCCCTTAACATCTTTTAGGTGATTAAAACACCCTCTAAGGGATGATGTGGCAGAGAGAGTGAGTGCACTCTCCTGAAAGTGCGTGAAAAAAGAGAAAACAAAAGCTGAATTTTTAAAGCCCTACACATGGCCTTTTTTTATTGGCCAATATATAACAAATTATTTAAATAGTTTTTAATATATATTAAATCTTTAAAATATGTAAAAAAAATTATTAAGAGGTAAATGAAATTAGTGGATCCCCTTTTTATTTTCTTTAATTTTTTTTATTTTTATTTTGTTGTCTTCTTCAATACACATTTTTCTCCATTGAAACATCTCTTCCTCCATCTTCTTCCCACCTCTATCCACTATTTTCATTTCACTAATCTTTTACTAATCCATAAAATTCAATAGCAATGTCATTTTATTGACGTCTATTTCACTCTATTATTTGTATCGATTTGGCAAATGCAAACTTTCTTAAATTTTGAGCGACCCATTTTGATTTCTAGATCATTCAAACATTTCTCATAAAATTTATATTTTTTTGGATCAACTTTCTTATGCAATCTTCATTTCTTATTTGAGTTGTCAAGAAAAAATTGGCTTTCAAAAAAATCCATTCTCCAAGAGGGTAAACTCATTGGGAGGATTCGAAGAAGAAAATGTGAATTTCTTCTTTAAAGTGACTTAAAAAATTGTTGAATAGTGAAGAAAAAGAAAAGAAAGTATTGAAGGTTGGAATAATGATAGTGAACAACAAGGAAGAAGAAAAAGAGGGAATGGGGTGAGGGTGGGGGTATGCATTTATAAATTAATCAATTGATATAATTAATTTTAAAAAGTGTTTAAGAAAAAATAGTGAATAAGTAAAAAGAAATAAAGATTAATGATATGACGCCTACATGGTTATGATGTGTCACTTATGTGGCTATGATGTGGTGGGTGAGAGTGGTGTTATAGTCTCAAGGTGGAAAAAAATCACTTCAAAGATCTTAAGGGGATATTTAAATGCCCGTATAATTTAAGTACTAAAGTAAATTATCCGATCAAATTCAAGAGAATTTTTTTGTATTTTCCCTATTAAAAGTGACAAAAGAATTAAAGAAATGTGTGGACATACTGTGAGTCCCTGAAGAAATGTGGATGGAAAGAGGGGCGGATCCACCCTATGCCATGGGGTGTCATCCGACACGACTTGGTCAAAAAAATTTAATATTATATATATAAATCTGGAAAAAACCCAACACAGTAGTAAGAATAATAAAAATGATACTCCTTGCACAATTGTGTTGCCTTGGCGCGTTTGTTTGACATGTGGCTGGAGTGTATTAATTCTCTCAACTGGCCAGGTTCAAGTCTCTTTAAGGGCATCTCCCACCTTACACTCTATTTTACCCTTTAAATATAGAATTTTCTATTTTTTCAGATAATCAATTTCAAGTCAATTCTCTATTTTACTATCTAAAAAGAAATTTTTTTCTTTTTTCTTAATATTATATTATTATTTCTATTTCATTCTTATTTTCTTACTTCATAGTATAAATTCTTTATTTCTTTTTCCCAATAATTACTTTATATAATTTTCATGTGATATAAAAATTTATTTTTTTATTTAATATAAAATTTTATTTTATTTTAAATTTTAAATAATATAAATTGCAAGAAAATATTATATAATATACAAATTCAAATAAAAGTGAAATACAATTACATAAACACTCAATTTTCAAAATTATTACGTTGCTCCCATAAATTTTCTATTAATGCATTACGGAGTTCAAAATGAGCATTTTTGTCCTTGTTTTTTTATGTCTAGCTAGAAGTTGTTTAAATCGGAAATTTTCATCTATCACCAGTTATGTCGTTGGAGTTGGAGCCTCTACGACATCTTGAATTGGTGCATTAAGATCACGTTGATCCTCAATTATCATGTTGTGCAGTATAATGCAATGTAGTCATTAAATCATGTAGCACTTTCTTTCTCCAAAAATGTGACGGTCCTGCAAAAATTGCAAAACGTGATTGTAAAACTCTGAATGCACGTTCAACATCTTTTCGGCATGATTCTTGTTTCATCGCGAATTAATTATTATGTTATGTATTGTATTTTATCTTGCATTTTAAATTATTATCTTATGTATTGTATTGTTATCTTGTATTTTAATTATCATATTATGTGTTGTATTTTTAAATTAAAATTTTCATCTTATCATTTTAATTTTGTGTATTCTTTATAGTGAAAATTAATAATAAAATTATATTATATTATCGACGAAAATTAAAAAATATGAAATACTATTAATTCGGGATGATAATAGTTTATATTAAATAATATATTTTTTAAAATATTATATTACATTCACCTCTCTAAATATGAAGAATAGAGGGTGATATAGAGTTGGATTGGAGTGTCCATTCTATATTTTACTCTCCAAATATAGGGAATGGAGAGTAAAATAGAGATGGGTTGAAGATGGTCTAAGAGCTATATTTTTTTTGGCTTTTTCAGTAATAAACATTTTTTTATTAATATAGTGTTATTATATCAACTATTTATTATTAAATATTGACACCACATATAGAAAATCCTGCATACACCACTCAGAAAGGTGATGGCGGAATTTAAAGAAACAGAAGGGGAAGAACACGTTTTTCATTTGGTTAAGCCAACTTGTGAGAGCGCTAAGGCCCTGATGAAATGGCTGGCCGATTTCTTTCAACAATCAAGCTGAATTCTTAGTTGTGTAGAATTTCTCTACTATTTCAGCTGTTTCTCTTTTCTTTTTATTGATCAAATAATTAGCCGTTTGGACTTGAATTTGAAATTATTGATTTAAGATAGAGATTGATTTGAACTTGAAATATTGTTTGGACTTGCCATTGTGACACGAGAAATCATTTTCACTATTATAGTCATTAACTAGACTCTCCATCTATGGAACACTTTTTTTTTGCTTAGAAGGATGCACTTATTTTGTATGTCTTGAAAATTCATTAAATATACCTTTAAAAAAAATTATTTAGTTTAGGACTCACCCAATAACTTGAAAAAATTAAATAATTTTCAACTCATAAGCTTTAAATCTCGACTCCACTATACCTCCAAAAGAAATTCTCTCTGGACAATAGAACTGGTAGTGGTCATTACGTATGGACTCCGCTCACTTGAATTGTTTGTATTTTATATATTAATGAGGACAAAAGAAGTATATGTCCTCTAGAAACATCATTATACATGCCGAGTTAAAATAGAATGACGTCTTTATATTTTATAAAAGATAATTCTATTAATTATAGTATACTTTTTTTAAATATTCAAATTTTATTTTAATAAAAGATCTAATCAACATTGAGTAGGGGTATCAAACGGGCAGTTTGGGTTGAAATTGAATATATTAAAATGGATTAAGGTTTGAATGAATTAAGATTGAACCCAATACAAATTATCTTGAGTCTAATCCTTAAAACTCATGACAGATTGGGTGAGTTAGCTATAGTTGGGTTCATTTTTGACATCCATAATGTTGAGTGGAAACGAAAGAGGAGATTATTTGTGTCGCATTCATCATTTGCTCAATCAAATCATACAATTATTCAATAGCAAATATGATATACTTGCTTCGATCCTAGAATACTGATTTATTGGACCTTTGAAAATTATTTAAAAATTCAAAGCAAAATATTTAAAAAGTTGGTTAGACTATAACCATCCTACACACAAATGTTTATACAAAGAAAGAAAGCGTGAAATAATTCTTCTTACTTTTGGCAATCAAATAAGAATTTTAAACAAACTTCTATAATTAATTTAGAGTTCAAAATACAATATAATACTTTTTTTGTTATTTTTATTTAAATATAAATAATATGTGGATATATTATAAGAAATAAGTATTTCTAAAAATGAATGGACGGCGTAATTTTCTTATCAATCAGTGAATAGAAGTTAATCTTATTTATAGAAAGTTTGTTGAAGATTCTTATTTGATTGCCACAAATTATTGCTTTTAAAAGTAGCATTCACAGCACTTGTGTATTACTACACACACCAACCTTCTCTTGCAACTTAGCTTTTAGCAATGGAGGAAATAGTGCATGATTTTTTCCCATTCATGAGAGTTTACAAAGATGGTCGAATCGTAAGGCTGATGGGCGAAGGTTTTGTGCCACCTGAATCTGATCCTGAAACTGGAGTACAAATCAAAGACGTTGAAATTGATCCACAAATTAACCTATCAGCAAGACTCTACCTGCCCAAAAATGTCGACTCTGTTCAGAAAATTCCCCTTTTTGTCTACTTTCACGGCGGTGGTTTTGTGATCGAATCTGCTTCTTCACCTTCATATCACAAGCATATAAGCAAGGTAGCAGCTGAAGCAAAAGTAGTTATTGTTTCTGTTAACTACAGGTTAGCTCCTGAGTACCTTTTACCCATAGCTTATGAAGATTCCTGGCTAGCTCTCAAATGGGTTGCTTCACATATTGCCAATGGTGATGGTGATGAGCCATGGCTAAAAGACCATGCCGATTTCAATCGCGTCTATTTAGGGGGAGATAGCGCGGGTGGTAACATCGCACACCATATAGCTATTCGGGTCGGGTTGGAAAAGTTGGATGGTATGAAACTTGAAGGGATTTTCCTTGCCTGTCCATTTTTCTGGGGGAAGGATCCTATTGACGGTGAGGGAGAAAACTTAGGTTCCAAGGATGTCATTGAGAAGCTATGGTTGTTTGTGAATCCCAACAGCTCGGGATTAGATGACCCGTTGATTAACCCGGAAAAGGATCCGAAGTTGTGTAGCTTAGGATGTGATAAAGTACTTGTGTATGTTGCCGGAAAAGATACATTGAGATTCAGGGGATTTTACTATAAGGAGGTGTTGGAGAAGAGTGGGTGGCCGGGAACGGTGGAGATTGTGGAGGTTAAAGATGAGGCACATGTGTTTTACCTGTCTGCTACAGAAGCTGAAAATGCCATGGCAATGATAAAAAAATTGGCCTCTTTCCTTAATCAGTCCTAGGCCTATTCATGGTATTGACTACTATTTTTATGAATAAAAAATGGATGTAATTGTTAAAGATTTTCTCATGGTTCTTAATATATTTCTCAATCTTCGGAGACTGCGGCGGCCTACTGTTTTTGTTGACTAAATGTAAGTTAGGTAGGAGAGTTCATTTTCACTATCATAGTTCATTAATCAGACTCTCTATTTATGGCGCATCTTGCTCCACTGCTTCAACTTGTTATTTATAAGATAGAACAAACTTCTTTAAGTGATGAAAAGGAACACCACCAACATACGTTTTTTGTTTTTATAAAATACAATAATAATCGGAATACCAATTTGGTGTAAACTCGCTGTTATCGATCTTTCTGGTAAGCTCCATTTAAAACTAAGCCATACATAAAATAAATGGCCTTGCCTTGGTCGTGAGTATGGGCTACGCTCACTAGCATTGTTTTGTTTGTACATATGGTGATGAATTATAGATCTTAGAGGGAAAAATTATCAGATGTGGGCATTTACACCGTTCAAATTGAATATGAATTTGAGTTTTTTATTTTATATTGAAGAAATTACCGTTCAAATTCAATTTAAACTTGCATTTGATTGGAGTTTTAAGGTTTGATTTAAAATTAATCAATTTTGATATTTTGAATTTCAATTTTTGAGCCTTTAAGACAAGTATTACAATTACGAAGCTCAATTCACTCAATAGTTTGTTCTTTCGAATGTACTATAACTTTTTACGGTTTACAAGGATTGAGGTCACTGTGACACTCAAGCCATGGATTAAGTTTTACTTACTCATAGACTATTTTTTCACTTTTATCTTGATTAGCAACATGATATTAAAAGTGACAATAGAATTATTTGATTTTAATCAATGAAATCATTTACATTATTATTCAATAGAAAATATGATATACTTTCTTTGGAACATAGAATACTAAACTATTGGACTTTTAAAAATAAAACTTATTACCAAGTTCTTGGTTTTAAAAGTAGATCTCACAGCACTTGTGCATAGTAACACCAACCTTTTCTGGTAACTTAGCTTTCAGCAATGGCGGAAATTATACATGATCTTTTCCCACTGATTAGAGTTTACAAAGATGGTCGAATCGAGAGGCTGATGGGTGAAGGTTTTGTCCCACCTGAATCGGATCCTGAAACCGGAGTACAAATCAAAGACATTGAAATCGATCCACAAATTAACCTATCAGCAAGACTTTACCTGCCCAAAAATATAGACCCAATTCAGAAAATTCCCCTTTTCGTCTACTTTCACGGCGGCGCCTTTGTAATCGAATCTGCTACTTCGCCGACATATCACAAACATCTAAGCATGGTAGCAGCTGAAGCAAAAGTCGTCATCGTCTCTGTTAACTACAGGTTAGCTCCTGAGTACCCGTTACCCATAGCATATGAAGATTCATGGATAGCTCTCAAATGGATCGCTTCACATGCTAATGGTGATGGTTATGAGCCATGGCTAAAAGACCATGCCAATTTCAATCGCGTCTATTTTGGGGGAGACAGTGCGGGTGGTAACATCGCACACCATATGGCCATTCGGGTCGGGTTGGAAAAGTTGGAGGGTGTGAAACTTGATGGGATTTTCCTTGCCTGTCCATATTTCTGGGGGAAGGATCTGATTGACGGTGAGGGAGAAAACTTGTTTGTCAAGGATTGCATTGATAAGCTATGGCTGTTTGCGAATCCCAATGGCTTCGGATTAGATGACCCGTTGATTAACCCGGAAAAGGATCCGAAATTGTGTAGCTTAGGGTGTGAGAAAGTACTTGTGTATGTCGCCGGAAAAGATCCGTTGAGATTCAGGGGATTATACTATAAGGAGGCGTTGGAGAAGAGTGGGTGGCCGGGGACGGTGGAGGTTGTGGAGGTTAAAGATGAGGAACATGTTTTTCACCTGTTTGCTCCAGAAGCTGAAAATGGGATGGCCATGTTGAAAAAATTGGTCTCTTTCCTTAATCAGTCCTAGGCCTTTTAATCATGGAATTGAGTACTATTTTCATGAATGAATTGGATGTAATTGTTAAAGATTTTCTCTTTTCTTTTTTTTTTAATTAAAGTTTGATCAATAAATATTGAATCATGAAAGATTTTGTGATAGCTTATTACACTTTATTATTAATTTTTGTTTATAATCGCAAGTTCAAATAAAATTTAACTTCAAATCAACTTGATTTCAAATTGTTTATTAAATGATCATGTCTAAAATATCATATTTCAACTTGTGATCAATCCATAGATACCAATTAGAAAATAAATAAAGGCATAATAGTTACTTTTTCTGTATAACAAAATTATTAGTTATTTGTTGGATTTCTTCAAGACATTTCCCTTAAATCATTAATTTTTCTATCATAGAGTTTCTCCCTTATTCGTATAATCTGTATTTTAAAAAAATAAAAAATTAAGTAAAATACTCTCTCCGTCCTAATTAGTTGATCATCTTACTAAAAATATTTATCTCATAATAGTTGATCACCTTACTAAATAAAAAAAAATTATTAATAAATTTTTTCCTATATTACCCTTGAAATTAATTCATTTGAATGTGTTCATACTTATTTGTAAAATTTCCAAGAAGTTTTTTTAAGAGGTGAATCAGTAAAATTATTTTTTTATTTATGTTATAGCTACTGTTTAGGGAAATTCTAATACGCAACTACAATTTCGCCAAATTTGCTATTAGCCTGATTTGTATAATTCGCATGACTTGTATAATTTGGTTCCTGATTGTATAAATTTAGAAATTTGTATATGCTTACCCGAGCTATTTGTATACGATTTATGAAAAATTCATAATAAACTACCCTGTTTCTATATTGTCAAGCGAAATATACAAACAGAGTTCTGAAAAATTTCTTGATGTAAAAATACAGATTTTGTATATACTTACCCTATTTAAATATCTGCAAGCGAAATATACAAACGAACAAAAATATACGACTGCAGCCTCCATAGCAAATGAAACTATAGCTATGGAGTGCAATCATCGAAATTATAGATATAGAACCTTATTATGTCTATTAGGTTTGTTATTTTTTTTTTAAATCTCTTCTTAATATGCGTGTAAAAAGGAAAGTAATCAACTAATATGAGAGAGTAATTGGCTCAAGTGCTATCTTGATCCAAGGCTTTGCTACTTCAGATATTTTAATTGAAATTCACCGATCTGAAATAGTGATACTTGCTCTTTAATTTGAGTGGTTAATAATGCACCTAAGTATGATGATATTGGGCTAGGCTACACATGAATTTAATACATATGCCTAAAATATAAGAGAAAAGTTGTTGCCCACATAATTTCATTAAAGTTTGAGCGGAATATCCTTAAAAAAAATATGAACAACACATCAAAATTTAAGAAAATACATAGAATAACCATGATCATTTAAATCCTTTTGGAAATTATTTCAAAACTGACATGGAGCAATTACAAGTTTATAACCTTTTCTAATATTTGAAAGAATTTAATCCTTTTAGAAATTATTTCAAAATTGACGTGGAGCAATTATAAGTTTACAACCTTCTCTAATATTTGAAAGAATTTAAGCATCTGACTCAAAATCTTACCGGTATCTTAAAATATGATCTAAACCCATACAAAAATCTTCATAACAGATGAGAGACGGACATAATTATTGGATTACAAAATAATAATATTAAATTATGTTAATCATGGCTATTTATTGGTGAAAGTGGTCATAATTCATATTAAGCCACTTTTTTATGATCTAGAAAATGGTTATTATTCTTGAAATCGTCAAATCTATATTCTTATAACTTATTACTTCATTATCTTTTAATTGGATATGAAAAATGTTGTAGAGTGAATGAAAAAATAAAATTATTATTGGAAAAAAGAGATCTTTTTTATTTATTTATTTGGAAATGAATGTTTTTTCTTTTTGTGGAGTTGAGGGACTCCATACCTAACTTGTTCAGATTTTGTTTGAACAAGTTATTGCACAAATAAATGCAAATGATCATAAAAACTATCAAAATTAAATTAGAGTAAACATGTTGACCCCAAACTAGGGGTGTGCATTCGGTTTTTCGGTTCGGTTTTGTGTTATTCGGTTTGGGTTTTTCGGTTTTCGGTTTGAAAAAGTATAAACCAATCCGAACCAAAAAAAAATTGGTTCGGTTCGATTTTTCTCTTTTCGGTTTGGTTTTTTTCGGTTTGGCTATTCGGTTACAACTTATTTCATAACTAATTAATAACATAATCAAAGTTATATTTGCATGCTTAAAAAATAAAAATTTCATATAAGGAAAAGTACTAATTCTAGTTCTGCTAATTTTTTTGTCATGAAAGTGCAAGTAATATGTGATATTTATAGTTATAATGTAAAACCTAATGCCTAAAATTTAGTGAAATAGGATGGCAGTAATTTGATATGGGCCTAAATATTACAACAATACTGAATTATTAGTACCCTACGGCCTACATAGTAAACCTAAATATTATAGGTGTAATTATTAATCTATTTATATATATATATATAATTCGGTTTTTTTCGGTTTTTCGTTTTTTTCGGTTTTTCGGTTTTCATTTTTCTAAATCCGAAACCAAACCAAAAAACCAAACAAAGTAACTTATAAATCCAAAACCAAACCAAAAATCCAAAAAACCAATCCAAATTATAATTCGATTTGATTTGGTTTGGTTTTTCGGTTTAATCCAAATAGTGCACACCCTACCCCAAACTAGGAAAAAAAAGATTTGGACATTCAATTCAAAATCCATATAATTAAAGAGCAGATTTTAAAACAAAGCAAATTCTTGGTTATAAAAGTGACTGTCACAGCACTAGTGTATAGTATACCAACCTTCTCTTGCAACTTAGCTTTTAGCCATGGCGGAAATAGTACATGATTTTTTCCCATTGATGAGAGTTTACAAAGATGGTCGAATCGAGAGGCTGGCGGGCGAAGTTTTTGTCCCACCTGAATCTGATCCTGAAACCGGAGTACAAATCAAAGACGTTGAAATTGATCCACAAATTAACCTATCAGCAAGACTTTACCTGCCCAAAAATGTCGACCCGGTTCAGAAAATTCCTCTTTTCGTCTACTTTCACGGCGGCGGCTTTGTAATCGAATCTGCTTTTTCACCTACCTATCACAAATATCTTAGCCTGG